AGAAAGAAATTATCATTCCACTTGACTCTCACTGGGAATAAACATGACAATAGGTCTGCTCTGATTTCATCATCATTAAAAAAAAATCATCTATTATTTTTCACTTTATGTTTCTGTGTGGGAGCAAACTGTTGAAATCCATACTTAATGTATACTAAGCTGATCTTCTGTATATTAAGATAATCGAAAATGAATCTTGATGTGAATGGAAGGGGAGAGGGAGTGGGAAAGGGGAGGGTTGTGGGTGGGAGGGACGGTATGGGGGGAAGCCATTGTAATCCATAAGTCGTACTTTGGAAATTTATATTCATTAAATAAAAGTTAAAAAAAAAACTGTCAGCGGAAATAAACCTTCCTCCTAAGTAGATCCACTCAGGTATTTTTAAAAATATTTATTGATTTGAAAGGCAGAGTGACAGAGAGAGAGGAAGAGACAAAGAGAGATCTTCCATCTATGGGTTTACCCTCCAAATGGCTGCAATAGCCAGGACCAGGCCAGGCTAAAGCCAGGAGCCAGGAACTTCATTCAGATCTTCCACTTGGCTGGCAGGAGCCCAAATACTTGGGCATCTTGTGCCTTCCTAGGACCATTAGCAGGGAGCTGGATTCTAAGTGGAGCAGTCAGGACTCCAACTGGTACCCATATGGGATACTGGCATCACAGGTGGTGGTTTAAACCACAATGCCATAACACTGGCCCCTGAGGTATTTTAAAGTAGTGAAAATCTGACTGATACATCATCTAAACCTAATTATCACCAAAAGGCCCACCTTCAATATAGTTATCCCCTCTTACCTGTAGGGGATAGATTCCAAGACCCCTCCCCCACACCGTGGATGCCAGAAACCATGGGTGGTACTATACCCTATACAGACCTATGTTTTTTCCTATACTTACACACCTATTATAAATTAGACATAAGAAGAGATGAACAACAATAGCTAATAATAACATAGAACAAGTATAATCTGCTATATAACAAAAACTATTCCATATATCTCATGGTACTGTATGCACCTTAGGAAGTGTGAGATGTCCCAACAGCCACATGATGAGACGACATGAAGTGAATGACATAGCCGCTCTGACACACTTCAGGCTGCTACTGATCTTCTACCTAAATGTCAAGAGCAGATTCCTCAAGCCAGGATGGTGGTGGGTCAAAGTGGGTCACTGAAACCATGGAAAGGAAAACTCGCACCATCACCTTGAGGCTTGAGGCTTGGACACGTGAACCGGCAGTGGGGGTGGTAACACAAAGGGGCAATGTTAACCAGGGAGGAGAACACATCAAAGGTTCACTCTGCAGGCTCTTGCTAAAGAATTCATTCATAAACTAACTGAATGTGATCAGCACTTGCCAAACGTTTGCCTAAAACATCTGGGGTGTGGAGCAAATTTATTAGTTCTCCATTTCTCTCAGTTCTGTTAACCCTGTCTCTGAAGTCGATTAGATCATCAGAAAGCAACGACCTTGAACTCTATTATCTGAACTCCCCACAGATTAACTCTCATAGAATTAAGATTAATGTCATGTCTTTAGATTTTGCAGGAGAGAGCACAGCATCAGTTTGAAGAACATTTTCATATCTTTTGCAAAATCATGAGTGTAGACACTGTGCACCCTGTTACCCATCCTCAAAGAGTCTGAAAAAGACTTTCCCTAGATAAATCCGTGCACTTGCTCTCCTCGTGCAGGGAGAGCATCAGAACTCCATGCCAGGGGTGGATTTAGTGCTCAACAGCAGAAATGTAATTCATACCAAATGCTGAAGGGAAGTTCTTTCTCCTTGTAAGCATATAAAAATAAGTGTTCTTACTTCATTGTTTTGTTTCGGAGTGAGTGTTTTGTGTCATGGTTAGCGTGCTGCTGGGAAGCCTACATCCATATTGGAATGCCTGGTTAGGGTCCTGGACCCAGGAATGTGCACACTGGAAGGCAACAGGAGATGGATCAAGTACTTGGGTCCTTGCCTCCCACATGGGAGACCTGGATTGAGTTCCCTACTACTGGCTGTTGTATAAACACATCCGGGGAGTGAATCCACAAATGGGAGATTCTCTCTCTCTCTCTCTCTCTCTCTCTGTGTGTGTGTGCATATCTGTCTTCCTTTCAAATAAAATAAAAATAAATAAAATTTTCAAATTGTCTTTCTTAAAAGTGTTGTGACCTTTGTTGGAATAGATAAGCTTTAAGCAAATAATATTGAATACAGTGTTGAATCCCAGTTCAATACAAGCGTCAGGAAGTAAAACCATGTTACCCAATACTGAGTCAACATGTAACTGGTACTCCTAGGATGAGACAATTCAAAACAGTAGGTCTTGTTCCTACTAAATTTTCAATAGAAATATGTGAGAAATCACTAGCAGAAACACTCAATAAAAGTAACTTTACATGTTTAAGAACTCTGCCTTTTATTCATGAAGGAAACATTTTAGGGTTGTAATATCCAGTTTAAACATTACACCTATGTAAGTGAGCATGAACTAGATTTTACCGCTGGAACAAACCACCTTAACCTCTTGGAAGTTTAAAGCAGGGAAAGCTTATTTCTCATCTGTGCCCTCTTGGGTGGCCAAGGTCTTCTATCCTACATTGTACTCAGTAGGGGACCAAGACTGGCCAAAACTCTACCTTCTAGAACATCGCTGGTGTGCATAGCTGTGAAAGGGAGCATGGCAAGACAAGTTCTGCATCAAGAAGTCTTCCTGAAAGTGGTACCTGTTGCTTTCACTTGTGTTTCATTGGCCACACCGAATTATGCACCTGCTGAACAAGAAGGCAAGCAGGGAGTCTATTCCTCTTGTGCTTGGAAGGAGAGCTAAGCAGCCCTAGTGATTACTATAGTTTGCCCTTTTGTTTACTGAACATTCAGTTCACTTTCCTTTCTGATTGCAAAATATATTCATACACTCCTCCAAGGGTAAAAACTAGAATGCTTTATTCTAAACCTAAAGTTTGGGGAGTTGCATGGGCACTGGGCTCTGATATTGCACCTGTTGGTTCAGGGACCTCATAATGAGAGTCTACCTATCTGCCTTCCACAGTGGGACAGGGATAACTACAACGAAGACCACTATTTGGAAATGGGGAAAAGGAGAGACACTGTAGATACTGCTCCATAGATTCTAAATCCCACTGGGTAGATATTTTAGGGCTCCTACTGGAGTAGTGAAATCCTTTGGTCAGGTCACCATGCTTCTTCTCCCTGGGAAGAGCTCCACTCTCCAGTCACCCTCCAATAGCCTGGCTCTAACTTTTGAAGGGTCCCTTTTCATTTATCTCTGTAGCCACAATTGAAGTGGGTGCTATGATAAGAATGCCTATGTGTCCCCAAGGTTCACACGTTGAGATCCTAATCCCTAATGTGATGACATAGGGAGAGGGGCTGCTGGGGGTAATTAGGACATGAAGGTAAAGCCCTAAAGAATGGAATTGGTGCCCTTATAAAAAAGACCCAGAGAGCAGCCTTTCCCCTTCCGCCACGGAGGACACAGCAAGACGGTGCTGTCTATAAGGAAGTGCAGCCTCACCCATGAATCTGCAGGGGCCTTGATCTTGGAGCTCTCAGCTTCCAGAACTGTGACAAATAAATTTCCGTTGTCTGTAGATACCCAATATGGCAGCCTACAGACTAAGACAGTAGACAATGAGCCGGCGTCTTACTTGGGATGAGCAGCTCTCCCAATCTACGTCCTGCTCTCAGATGATGGAAGCCCCAGTGTGATTTTATGTTTTCAACAATCATCACCTCTTGTTCAGACTGACTGATACTTCTGTTATCATTACAACTCTGTCAAAACATTCTGTTATTCTAATCAGCTCCATATGTCAATAGCCACAGCTTTTTTGAGGCTTAATTCTCATGTTTACTATTTTTCTTTTACTTTCTTGTTCCCATACCTTTCTTTATTAATTTAATTTTGATTTTCTGAAGCTCTCAGGCTTCAATGAGAGCACCAGATGTTAATCTTTTCCCTGAGCCATCGCCTATATTTGAAAGGATGTCTATAGATACCACGCCATTGACTCTACTGCTGTTCAGAGACATCTTAATTCATTCACAGGTTTTAACGATGGCTGCGATGAAAATACTCTTAATTTGTTCCATGAGGCAAGGTTGAATTTTCACTGGTTTCTAACATTTAAGTTTTCCTTAGTTTTACCATTTGCTATTTAGAATTGAGACTTCCTTTAGGCTTATAAATCTCTGAATTCCATTTTCTTACATTCCTGCTTGGAAAAGGAACCAATTCATTTGTGAGCTCACCTCTTTTTTGTAACATCTCGCCAAAGCAGTCATCGGCAAACAGCACATGCTTCCAACAGGAATCTTTTCCTCTAGAGACATAGTTCATCCGGAATGAAAGCTACACCCTAAATTCCTGCAAGCACAGATTCTTGCCACCCACTGCCTGGATAGAAGGCCAGTATCACTCATCTTAGGTCATCTGTTACAGCAGCCATCCATGTCCATGCACCCATGTCCATGTTATTCAGTATTTGCAAGCTCCTTTTGCAGAAAGGAGCCAAGAACCAATTACTATTTCCCCTTCCTGTTGTGTGTCCAGTTTGGTCAGAGAACTTTCCCTGTTATCCTCACTCAGGCACCCAAGCTCGGGGAGTCTCTACAATCTGGAACATCACCAGTTCTTATGGAAGATGGAAAGAGACATGGAAGGTGTGCACCTGCCCCAAAACGACACACAGAGTGTTTCTGCTCACATTTCATTGGCTGAAGCAAGCCAGATGGCTCATCCTAAATAAGTGGGCAGAGAAGCCAAATTTTTCCAGTATCCAAAAATAAAATATTGGTCAATCACATTAATGACTCCCGTAATACTCATTTAATAAAAATATGTGTGTATACATCCCCCTTTCAATACACATGTTGTTTATGTTGGACTTAGACTCTCTAGAAGTTATAGAGTCTACTGTCTCTGGCAGTGTCCCCATTCCTACAATAAACTAAAGAGACTTACGTTTAATTCCTAGGGTATCTAATTTCAAGTTGGTGTCATCAGCACTATTGACATAGCAAGAGAAAAACAGCTAACATGGGGGAACACAATCATTAATTTGTACAGGAATGGGACAACTGAACATGTGGATTTCTGTAAGTACATATTTGCTTCTGTGTACATATGTGTCTCCTTTTCTAACCTAAAGCATCTGATTCAAATGAATTATTCTCTGCACTCTAAAGCAAAGATGAGCATTTGTGATTTCAGGTGCTTTACATTGTTAAAGCAGATCTACCCAGCCCGAGAGTATGGGATACAAAATGATCCACGTCCAAGTTTTCCATTGTTGTCTGGTTACTCAATAAATATTTGATTGATTGAGTAATCCCATGTCCCAGATAAATATTGTGGCCACAGAAGGGTTTACCAATAAGTCAGTTGGGAAAAAAAGTTTCCATTTCCAACGCACTTGGCCACACTCACAGAAACTCAGTGGAAGTTGGAAGTGCTTCTTCAAGGTTAGTGGCTAGACACTTTCATAAACTTTGGGAAGATTTTCTAGATAAAGTGTTTAAATATGGGAAAATGTTTAAAATATGCTTTTACCCATTTTGTTTTCCAAGCACTCTAATTCTCCTTTGATTTTTCCAACCAGAAGAGAAAAGTTTTTTAGGTGATGAGCAGTAAATAATTGGCACATGATTCAAGACCTCACGAGCATGTAAACATGGTGTTTTCCTTAGCCCTAAGCCAACTCTTCTGCAGAACAAAAGCATCACCAAAAATGCTCCCATAGGGGCCAGCGTCGTGACGTAGCAGGTAAGACACAACTTGCTTCACTGGCATCCCGATATCGGAGTGCCCATTTGAGTCCCCATTGGTCTACCTCAGGTCAAGCTCCCTGGTAATGTGGCTGGAACGGCAGTGGAAGATGGCCCAAGTGAGTTCCTGGCTCCTGACCTCAGCCTGGCCAAGTTCTAGCCTTTGCAGCCATCTGGGGAGCGATCTAGCAAATGAAATATTTCTCTCCCTCCCTCCCTCTCTGTCTCTGTCTCTATCTCTATCTCACTTTGCTTTTCAAATAAATAAAATAAATCTTTTTAAAAATCATCTCCAGCGATGTACAGGTCAGAATTCTAATCCTAGCAGAGCTGCCTGAAAGAGGTTGATGAGGAAGGAAGGATGTTCCCAGGAACCTAATCATCATGTCTCAGAGTCTATCCTGGAGCCCTGTGGACAGACCTCCTGCTAAGCCAGGGCTCCAGGGAGCAGTGAAAGGCCAAGGCCAAGGCCAAGGCGATGACGTCTCCTAGCCAGTTTGAAGCGGTTCCACTGTGTCTGTCATTCTGCACAGTCATATTCAGGGAGGAGGCAGGCGGGTCGCACTCACAGATCCTGAAGTTGATTAAGACTTCAACATAGCTTTTTGAGGGACACATTTCAATCCGCACCAGCTGGGCCCAAAGATGAGTAAATGTTTCTAAGCAGAATGAAGCATCTACTGAAGTCTGATCTCTTCATGCAAGAGAAGAGCCAGTTACTGAAGTCTGCATATAGACAACAAAAACAGTAGCTCACCATGTAGTCAACCTAGAATGTTTGGCTAATGGGGTTTGTGTGGCCCAGAAGGATGCTATGCCTCTGGGGATGCCCACATCATGTATCAAGAGCCTGGATTGAGCCCCAGCTCCTCTCTTCCCATTCAGCTTCCTTCTGATGTGTACCCTGGGATGCAGCAGATTATGGTCCAAGCACGTGGGCCCCTGCCATCCATGGAGGAGACCCAGATGGAGCTCCTGGCTTAGGCCTGGTCTAGTACCAGCTGTTGTGGGTACTTGGGGAATGAACCAGCCAATGAAAGATTTCTCTATCTCTCTGTCACTCTGTCTTTCAAATAAATAAAAGTAAATCAAGTTAAAAAATAAAAAAGAGCATTCAGCAACTTCAATGAGTAGATTGTCTGCAATGCATGAGTTGGTGTAGGTCCTAGCCATCAGCTGCAGCCCCAAATAGTACCTGTAGCAGCCACTCTATTTAAAAAAAGATTTATTTATTTGAAAGGCAGAGTTACAGAGAGGCAGAGGCAGAGACACAGAGAGAGGTCTTCCATCCTCTGGTTTACTCCCCAGACGGCTGCAGCAGCCACTATCGATCTGAAGCCAGCAGGAGCTTCTTTGGGGCCAAGGACTTGGGCCATCTTTTACTGTTTTCCTAGGTCATAGCAGAGAGCTAGATCAGAAGTGGAGCAACTGGGACTAGAACTGGTGCTCATATGGGATGGCAGCACTGCAGGCCACGGCTTTACCTGCTATGCTACAGCGCCGGCCCCTTTCTTATATTTTTTTAAGTTTATCTGAGAGACAGAGAGAAAGAGAGAGGGAGATATTTCCCACCCACTGGTTCACTCCCTGAATGTCCTCCATGGCCTGGGTTGGGCTGAGGCTTCAGCCAGGAGGTGGAACTCAATCCAGATCTCCCGTACTACATTACTTGAACCATCACTGTCATCTCCCAAGGTGTGCATTGGTGGGAAGCTGGGATCAGGATCCAGAGCTAGGAATTAAACCTAGGTATCCCTATGCGGAACATGCATCTGTTAAATGCTAGGCTAAATGCCCACCCCTAGTGTGCACCTTAAAACTTAATTTTTATACAAATTTCAATATGCAAGCATTTAGTGTATATATCTTTTAAAGTATAATGAGCAGCCGGCGCCACGGCTCACTAGGCTAATCCTCCGCCTTGCGGCACCAGCACACCGGGTTCTAGTCCCGGTCGGGGCGCCAGATTCTGTCCCGGTTGCCCCTCTTCCAGGCCAGCTCTCTGCTGTGGCCCAGGGAGTGCAGTGGAGGATGGCCCAAGTACTTGGGCCCTGCACCCCATGGGAGACCAGGAGAAGCACCTGGCTCCTGCCATCGGATCAGCGCGGTGCGCCGTCAGCAGCGCACCAGCCACGGCGGCCATTGGAGGGTGAACCAACGGCAAAGGAAGACCTTTCTCTCTGTCTCTCTCTCTCACTGTCCACTCTGCCTGTCCAAAAAAAAAAAAAAGTGTTTCTAAAAACTGAAAGCAACTATTATTTATAGATAAACCACTTTAAAATTGAAACCACACTGTGATATTCCAAAAGTCAAAAAAAAAATTTAAGTATAATGAGCAGGAAAAAATCATTAATTTTTTTCTCAAATGAAGAAAATCAGTAAACAAAGCATTTAATTTTGAATCATCACTGGTGATGGTGACATTAATCTCATGCTTTTTGAGTGATAAATCAGCCTTTTGAAAGAATGATTTCTAATAGCTTAAGCTGTCTCACACACCGATATGTCTCTTATTTTTCTAAGAGTTGGCCTCGGGACCTGTGCTGTGGCATAGTAGGTTAAGGCCCTGCTTGTAGTGCTGGCATCTCATATAGGCGGCTTCCAATCCAGCTCCCTGCTAACAGCCTGGGAAAGCAACAGAAGATGGTTCAAGTCCTTGGGCCCCTGCACCCATGTGAAAGACCTGGAAGAAGCTCCTGGCTCCTGGCTTCGGATCAGTTGCAGCCATTTGGGGAGTGAACCAGCAGATGGAAGACCTCTCTCTTGGTCTGTAACTCTGCCTCTCAAATAAATAAATCTATCTTTAAAAAACAATAATAAAAAAATTGGCCTCTATCCCCAATACCTTCAAACACATGCTATAAACCTGAATCTACAGATGTCTTCACCAATCACGGGCTATGTCAAACGTCAACAGGAATCTCACTGGGTTCTCCAAATCTCACGTCAGAATCCAGCCAGGAATCAGGGCGGACTCCTTGGTTTTCAGGTTTGCTCTCCTTGGAACTCAGGGGATACCAAGAGCCTTTGGATCACAGGCTGTCCTCACCGGCCCACTAGATGTCACCCTCAGCTAAATTAAGAGAAAGTCCGCCTACGACGCCAGGCACTGAGGGACACCTGGTTAGTTCCAAAGAACCAAGCACGAGTCTGTGTTATACATGTGCAGCCTAGGGGGAAGGGGCAGCAAGACGCAGCCTGTCACAAGTTTGGTGGGAAGGGAGGCTTCCCAACAGTGAAAGAATGCTGTGGATATAATCTGAGGTTATTGAGTTTGTGGTGAAATCTGTCTGGATAAAGAAGGGAGCAGGACAAGTAGTGATCCTGGCGGGAGAAGGGCAAACCAGGGAATGACAACAGCAGGGCAAACGGCCTGAGGCAGAGCGAGCCAGTGCGGAAGGTGAGGAAGCTGTGAAGCCAGGCCTCATAGGGCCTTGTAGGGCTCTGTAAAGTGTGCAAACTTCATCCCAGGTGAAATGGGAAAACTCAAGTCCACGGTTTTCCCACGGAAAACCTCTCCGAATGCACTTGACCATAATCATGAAGGCACAGCAGACAAACCCAAATAAAGGAACTTTCTATAAAGTAAGTGACTTGTGTTTTCTTTTGTAAATGTCAATGTCCTCAAAGAGAGAAAAAAAAAAAAAGGCCTGGGAAAGCATCCCAGAAAAGGAGACTGTAAATGCCATCGCGATCCTGGGCTGGAGCAAGAACAAAGCTCTCGCACAGCTTGTAGATGCCGTAGAATGACACGGCTAACATTAACTTTCCCGAAGTTGACATTGTGCTGCGGCTGTGTAAGAGAATATATTATTTGTGGAATTTCCACAATGAAGTTTTAGAGAGTAAAGTGATGTGGCTGAGGTTTCCAAACACCAATATGTGCTGGGAAAGCTGCAGCCTTCTCTCAGGGAGGTGGAGCACGTGTGATGGGTGCATTTGACTAGTTATTTCTTTATTTGAAAGGCAGCTACAGAGAGGCAGAGGCAGAGAGAGAGAGAGAGAGAGAGAGAGAGAGAGAAATCTTCCATCTGCTGGTTCACTACCCAGGTGGTCAAAACGGCTGGAGCTGGGCTGATCTGAAGCCAGGGTCTTCAGGGTCTCCAGTGTGGGTACAGGGGCCCAAGGATTTGGGCCATCTTCTACTGCTTTTCCAGGCCACAGCAGAGAGCTGGATCAGAAGTGGAGCAGCCTGGACTTGAACTGGTGCCCATATGGGATGCCAGCACTGCAGGCAGTGGCTTTACCCGCTATACCACACAGCAGCAGCCCTAAATTGTTACATTTCTTTTCATGTTCTCACCTCACCCTCAAAGCAGCTTCTATGTCCCTAAGAACCTTCAAAAGAAAGCCTGAAGTTCCTTGTGGGTGGGTTTAGAGATCACTGTGCTCCCAGTAGAAGATGGTCACCCTCTGGGGAAGTGATAACCTTGCTGAAATAAATGAAGGGTCTCCAGTGTCTTCAGAACTCACATTCCTAAGAGCAATGGCTCTCATGCAAGAAAACCACCTGAAACGTGTGATTCTCGTGCCTAAAACACTGACTTGGACACAGCAGAAGAGGTGAAGCACTGGGTGAGCAGTGGGAGTGAATGACAGTTGCTCAGAGTGCGCAAGTTCTCTCTTTGTTAAATGTGAATTGCCGACAACATGGGAGAGAAAGCTGGCTTGGGCTGAAACAGCCGTTGGTCAACACGCATCTTTATGAGCACCTATTACAGGCAAGATCATATGCTAAGTGCATAAGGAATGCAAAGATAATTTAAACGCAACATGTGCCTCGATTTTGTACCTTCATCCCAGAAGACCTGGGCTAGGTTCCAGGGAGCTCAAGAAAGAGCTCAATTTAATTCATTTAATTTATTTTTTATTTTATTTTTATTTTTTTTTGACAGGCAGAGTGGACAGTGAGAGAGAGAGACAGAGAGAAAGGTCTTCCTTTTGCCGTTGGTTCACCCTCCAATGGCCGCCGTGGCCGGCGCGCTGCGGCCGGCGCACCGCGCTGATCCGATGGCAGGAGCCAGGAGCCAGGTGCTTTTCCTGGTCTCCCATGGGGTGCAGGGCCCAAGCACCTGGGCCATCCTCCACTGCACTCCCTGGCCACAGCAGAGAGCTGGCCTGGAAGAGGGGCAACCGGGACAGAATCTGGCGCCCCGACCGGGACTAGAACCCGGTGTGCTGGCGCCGCTAGGCGGAGGATTAGCCTAGTGAGCCGCGGCGCCAGCCCTTTAATTCATTTAAGTAATTAACATTTTGGAAAGGGTGACTCTTATCTCTGGAAAACTCAGGCGATGTTTAGACTCTGACGTCTTAATGGTAACAGTGAATGGATTACGGGTGAGGATTGGTCTGCTTCTGGCATCTGAAAGGTGGATCTGGTGGGAGGTCTTTAGGTACTGTGGGCAAGTCCTTGGAGCGTGGTTCACTGAGTTCAAATTCAGCCCCCCCCCCCCCCCGGCTCCCCCCTCCTCCTTGGCTTGTGATTTCTCTGCACCTACAATGACCAGCCTCTATCAGATGCTGGGACCACCAAACCCCAAACCATAGTCTCCAAACTATAAGCTGAAATAAATCTGTTCTTTTCCAAGAAGCTCCTCTCAGGCATTTTAGTTAAAGTAACAAAAAACAGACGAATACAGAGCCCGAGAAACAGAAGTTCTGCTGGCCAGGCGTGCACTGCAAGTGCTTTTAGCTGCCCGGACGAAGCAGCAGCGGGGCAGCCATGCACAGCTTGCACCTTAGGAATTATATGAAAAACTGAAGCAAACCCAGTTCCAGAAGCATGAAAGTGGTACAAAAAGAATTCTTAGTAAGACTAGAGAAACGGAAGTTAGATTGCCTGGAGAGGATAATATTGATTATCTTCCAGTGTATTAAGATTACCTAATAGAAGAGTTAGTGTCTAGCTTCTACCCAACTTTGCTGGGACAGAAGTGGAAGAAATGGAGTTCACACTTAAAGATATTTTAATTAAACATTTGCATTTATCAGTCTTGGAAAATCAAGCCCGGAAATGAGCCACCCTGGGTTTCTGTGTGGCTTTTGTGTCCCTAGAGGAGGTTCAGAAGAACACGATGCTATCTGGTCTGGAAGATACACAATCTGCTTCTCACCCGCGCAGACCGCTGCCACCCACCAATGATGATGGCATCAGCTTTCCCACTGGGGCTCCCGAGTTGCCAGGGATCCTTGCACGGCCACTCCTTCCTGATGAAGGCATTTCAGATCTCAAAGTGTAAATGTGATCGGAGCGGATGGCACATGCCGATACTATCAGCCAGTGACGCCACGTCTTATTAGTTATCAAATTATGAAGTCACCTAGTAGAGACCCAGAGTAAGTAAGGGACAAAAGGCAAGCTTCGACGATAGAGAAGGGGCTGGGGAAAGTGAGACCCGAGAAAACCCAAAGGAAGTAAATTCTGATGGAAGAGAAGGAGCTGGGGAGAGGAGAACTTAAGGGAAAGGAAGAGCCCAGGTGGGCTGCCACCGTTAGCAACCTCAGGGACCCAACCTGGAGGGCACTGAGCACGTTAGCTTGGCTTCTCCGGTCACCTAGTTTACATGCTTCCCTCTGCTCCCCGTCTCCCTTCCCTCCCCGCCCACCTCCCCCTGTTTCTCTTTTCCTTCCTTCTGTAGCTACTTCTTTAATTATCACCAGGCACTGCAGTAGCCGCTACACCCACCAGCCTAGGGTCTGAGCATGCCCTGCACGTCAGTGCTTCACACATGCTAAGATCTGAGCTCCAGGTGCTCGGCTTCCAGTCAAGCTCCTTCCTAACGTGCCTGAGAAGACAGCAGGTGGTGGCCCAGGTACTTGGGCCCCTGCCACCCAAGTGGAAGCCCCAGATGGAGTTGCAGCTGTTTGGGGAGTGAACCAGTAGACGGAAGATCTTTTTCCCTCCGCATCTCTACATCTTTCTCCGTCTCTCTGCCTTTCAAAATGTTTGTCATGCACACGTCTCACCTGAGCTTGAATACAACCAGACCTTGGAGAGAAGTGGGTTATATTTTGAAGACATGGTGTTGGAGTCGACTTTTGGAAGCTCATAGCTTCATTTCCCCTTGGGGGAGGGATATCTGAGAATTACAGTCCAGGGCTGCCTGCACACAGGATGTGTGAATCCACCTGCAGTGAGGTCGTGCCTGAAGGATCTGCCTCAGCTCCCTTTAACCATGGTCAAAACATCAGCTGTGAGAAGACCTCACAACTCAGGACAAGAGGACACAGCGGCCCCAGGAGCCTCAGCACAAGGGCAAAGACGCCAGAGCGCAGTAACCCAGGCTGCTGCACCCACTGGCTCAGAGAAGGCATCGCTCAAGACCAAGTCTGCGCTGGTGTTTCCACTTGTGGCTCATGAGGCAGCAGAACGCGTGAGAGAGGAGAAGTCCGAGATCATTCATCAAGTCGTGCTTCCTGCTCTCTGGCTGGACATCAGCAAGTCCACGGCGCTCAGCGGGAGGCATCTCAGCAACCACAGGCTTTGGGTTCTTGGCCACGCTGGCTGTGTGCTTTGTGACTCATCCCCCAGGGACTGGCCCTTCACAGCCCTGGAGGCCTGTATCTATCACTCACTGGGTTTCCTTCTCACTCTTCTCAGAGTGTAAAGATTGAGCAACTGCCTTTTGGTGTTCCCCCTGGCAATGCCCCGGATGCTGCATGCAGAGGGCTGTATTCATTCTCATTCATTCATTCCATTCATTTTCATTCATTCATTCTCTCTCTCTCTCTCCTGACTTATCTCCATCTTCTTTCTTGCTTGTTCACCCTGTCCCTTTTGGTTGGAATTGGCTCCTCCCTCCCGAGTGCCAGTCTTGCTGATGTGTCTCAGACTTCCCCATGCTTATTCATGTGCATGAATTCCTTATGTGATTGATGATATGAAGGGGACTTCAAAAATTTTGTAGAAACTTGAATTAAAATAGAAGCTATTCTGGTGCAAAAATATTTCAAAATCTGTGCATAATTTCTGCCTAATATGTACTTCCCATGCACTTTCTGAAGACCCATCCTATACCCACTTAGTTTTGACATTCCAGTCAAATACATTAGTAGGGAATAAGGAAATGTTTGACAAATGAGAAAATACATCTACTAGTGCGGTTGACTTTTCAAAACAGAGGAGCTAAACACAAAAACATCCGTTTCAACTCCAAACAGCTGCCCCGATGCCTGTGTTGACAATGTGTATAACTGCACATAGATAGTCCTCTGTCGACCTCCAAACACAAAGAATCATATAATGCTATTCTCTGATACTGATTATCTTTTACAGAACTGGAATTATTATACTAGGATTATAATATGATTTTTAAAGTAGATTTGAAGAAAATTCGCAGTCTTTTAAAAGGTTAAAATTGATTTTGCCAAAAGCTTTATAGCACCACCAGAAACAGTAGTAGGTAGGGGAGGGCAGCAGTTAAGATGCGGCTGTGGAGCGCCTGGGTGTCCACGGCTGAGGCCAGCTTCCTGCGCATGCGCACTCGGGGAGCCAGCAGGTGCGCGCTCAACGACTCGAGTTCCTGCCACCTACATAGGAAACCAGCGCTGAGTTCCTGGTTCCTGCCTTCAGTCTGGCCCAGCCTCAGCTGTTACTGGCTTTCAGGGAAGGAACCAGAGCGTGGATGATCTCTCTCAGCCTTTCAGGTAGAATGAAAACAGCTGAATAAAATATTTACATAAATAAATATTAGGTAAATGAACACCTTATAAATTCATATTCTGAAGCTAATGTCAACAGGAGTTCTATCCTACATTTATGTTTTTACTTTTCCAGTTGGATATGTTTCCAGTCAGTTTGAATCTGCCTGCATATTATTTGCCCTAGCATTCAGTTCTACAGTATTCAATGTCAGTTATATGAGTATTAGTCACATAATGCTTTATATTATTTTAATGCATTTACTCAGAACATTTTTTCCTCTAGAATGGTCTGATCTCTCTGCATTAAAGAATCCTATTGGATCCAGAAATCAAAATGAATAATAGGAAGCCTGTATTAGATATGTTTATTATGTATAACAGCACATATGTCGAGACCAGACTAACTTATATAGTAAACTTGATTAATAAATGGCCTTGTGTAGCTATTGTTATATAAATATCGCTAAGGTTTCAGCCCTTTTTCATGTTGGCAATATTAAATTCGGATAGATTCCTCTATGCTCTGGTAATCATCAGTAGATATTGTTCATACTTTGGCAAGATGAGGAAGAATTTATGATTTAGGGGAATATCCTTGGCTGCAATACCTGCACGTGAGAGGGTGGTGGAGACAAATCCCACAGGTGGAAATGATTAGGAAACTGATACAGAAAGTGAGCGATGTAATATTTTCTCTGCTGCCCTGAAATCATCTTCAAAATAAATTATAAAGCAATTGATAAAGAGACAATGAGAAAATCTGTTAGACATTTTTCATCTCCTTGAAACACACGTCAGTATTGTGCTGATGAAAGCCTGTATCATGAAACCATTTTTCCCATTTTTGCAGAATCAATGTCAGGAAAATAGATTGGTAAATAGAGTGCAGGTGTGGCCAAGTGGTTAGTGCAAGGATGGGCCAAGGGAGATGCCTGCTCCTCTCAACCTCCTGCTGCCCTACCTGTGGCCAGTGTGCGTAGGAGCAGAGCTGTTACAGAGTGAAGTAGCGAGCAATGAAGGCAGAAGGAAATTTGTGGTTATGCTCCCTCTGGTCCTTACCATTCTCAGGCACTTGGGGAACGTGCAATGGAGACATTGCACTACATAACACTTTAATCATAGTCAACACCTGGCAATCTACAAATACAAGGACCTTTAGAATGCTCTTGGGAATGTATATTATGAAAAAATTATGCATGGTATCAAAGATGTTTTTGCACCAAAATAAACTTATTATTCCATT